TTTTTTTTCGTTTTTTTTTTTATGTGTGTTACCTCAGAACTTTTTTCTGGGTGAACCGATTTCGATGATTCTTTTTTTATTTGAAAGCTGGTACTTCTCGTGTGGTCCCATATGAATTTGATCAAGGTCAGACCAATAGTTTTTAAGTTATTCTTAAATAACTTATATTGAAGTCGGCTGTACAAAATTTTTAATTTTAAATTATAAAGTTTTATTATGTCCACAATAATCCGGCATGTTAATTTTTATGTGACTTCACGAAGCTTAAAACTACAAAGTGACACAATGCGTTTGAAGATATCTAATTTGTCAATTATACGATGAGTAGCTTAGAATATCTAAGGGAACAGATTGTAACCAACCTTTTGGCTTCGCCGTAGTTGGGTAAAAATATTGACTTACATCATCTGCGTCAAATCAGAAGACACGAATATACTATAATCTGTATCGATAATTATAGTTGAGGCAGGCAATGCATGGTGCAGCACTATTTGTCACCCATGCATTGCGCTAGCACTTCTTACTAGTTTACATATACATATAATACATAAACACTCACGCCTGTCACCCAGAGGGGTAGGCAGAGATTATGGACTTCCATTTGGCACGATCCTGACACACCTCTCTCGCTTCCTCCACATCCATATACCTACGCATACACGCTCGTCGGTTAAAGGTACTCTTGATTTGGCCCATTTTTAATATATCGCCAATTTGGTCGATAAACTTTCGCCTAGGGCGACCCTTCCCGACTATGCCGTTCACCTCTGCAACATAAATTTGCTTTGTCACTCTTTCCTCATTCATTCTTTCTACATGGCCAAACCACCGAAGCATTCCTTTCTTAATCCTGGTCACAACATCATCTTGCAAACCACACTCTTCTCTTATTAAACAATTTCTCACTCTGTCATTCAGCTTCATCCCTAACATACTCCTTAATGACCGCATTTCTACAGCATTTATTCTACTCTCATGCTTCTTCTGCCACACCCAACTTTCACTACCATACATTAAAGTAGGTACTAACACAGCATTGTGAATTGCCATACGTGCCTTTTTGGACACATTCTGACTTTTCACAATAGAGTGTAGAGCCCCATTCACTCTATTTCCTGCATTCACTCGTCGTTCTATATCCTTATCATATCTACCATCCCTGCTAAACACACATCCCAAATATACAAACTCATCTACTTGCTCTACCAACTCCCCTTCTATTCTTATTTCACATATCGTTTTACTTTCTTCTCTTTCAAAAACCATAACTTTCGTCTTACTTGCGTTCACTTTCATTCCCTTTTCTTTTAATGTCCTGTTCATTAATGTAACCATCATTTGCAACTCGGCTGCCGACGACGCAAGTATGACTTGATCATCGGCGTACAAAAGGCATTTGACGGTTAACTCACCCATTCTTAACCCGCATTCTTCTACTTTCAAATTTTCCAAACAACTGTCCATAAACAGGTTGAACAACCACGGGGAAGCCACACAGCCCTGTCTGACACCTTTATGGATGTCAAACCAGTCCGAGTAGGCCCCGTTGATCCTGACACAAGCACTAGAGTCCCTATATAGAGACTTCAATGCCTGTATCAGACCAGCGCTCAACCCAAATGAGTTCAGTGTTTGCCATAACACATCCCTGTCCACTCTGTCATAAGCCTTCTCCAAGTCCATGAACGCACAAAAAACTTTTTGGTTTTTGGCCAAAAACTTCTCGGCGATCATGCGCATGGAAAAGACCTGATCCGTACATCCCATTCCCTTTCTAAATCCCGCTTGCACATCCCAAATTTTTCCGTCAGTTTCTTTCATAACTCTTTCAATTAGTACCTTAGCATACAGTTTTCCCACAATGCTAAGAAGGCTGATACCACGGTAGTTTTTACAGTCCTGCTGTGATCCTTTTCCCTTATATATTGGGACTATCACGGCTTTGCACCAGTCTCCCGGTACCCGCTTAAGTTCCCAACATAAATTAAACAAGGTGTACAGCAGGTCTGCCACCACTCCTTCTCCAGCCCTTAGCATTTCGAGAGATACTCTATCATAACCAGCTGCCTTACCTACTTTCATACTTTTCATTGCTTTCATTATTTCATCTATACTTATATCTCTATCTATTTCCTCTTCTTTCGGAATTTCTATTTCATTTAATTCAAACGTCTCATCACTCATAAACACGCTTTCAAAGTATTCCTTCCATCTCCTTAAACTCAAAACTTCGTCATTCAGAATACAGCCATTCTGGTCTCGTATAGCATTCATTCTAGGCTGTTGTGAATGTCCCCTGGTAGTTCTTACGAGTTTCCAGAACATTTTAATGTTTTCCTGGAAGTTATCCGATATTCTTCTATCATTCTTATCCGTTCTTTCTTGCTTTTTCCTTTCAACTACTTCTTTTACTCTCTTATTTAGGTGTCTAAAAACCGCCTTTTTCCTTTCAATATCATCATTCATACTGCTAGAATTACTAGCCTTGGTTGCTAGTAAATCTAGCCATGCTTTCTTCTTTGCTTCAACTTTCATCCGTACCTCATCATCCCACCATAACGTGTTATTTTTCCTTTCATTTGTTCTCTTGCTTACACCACATACTTCGGTAGCTGCATCCACTAAACCTTTCTTGACATTATACCACACAGTCTCCAAGTCTAAATCATTCATACACAATTCAGCCATACCACTTATATTTTCTCTCAATCTACATTTGAACTTCTCTTTCACACCTTCATCTTGTAGCCTCTCTGTTTTTATACGCTGTAACGCTGTGGTAGACACAGATGTCCGATGCCTCCAACGTCTGAAAAGACCATTAATTCGGCATAAGACCAAGTAATGATCCGTCCCTACGTTAGAGCCCCGGTAAACCCTTGTATCTACCACCGCGCTCCTCATTCTTTCATCAACAATTATGAAATCTATCATACTTCTATCATCACCTCTTTCCCATGTATACGTGTGAATCTTCTTATGACGAAACAAAGTGTTCGTCACAACAAGACTCTTTTCCACGCATACGGCGAGAAGGCTTTCACCATTCTCATTTATACTTTCATCACCAAACGTTCCCAATATCCTTTCATAACCAAGCCTCCTCACCCCAACCCTTCCATTAAAATCGCCTAATATCACAATATTTTCATTAACCTTGCATTTCATTAGCACCATCCTTACCAACTCCCAAAACTGCTCTCGGATATAAGTGGGCTTAGACATGTCTGGGGCGTAGACCCCTAAAACAAACAACTTCTTTAAGCCCACTTTCATTCGTATCCATAGCAGTCTCGGGCTTACACATTCATACTCTTTTACACAATGACCCATTCTTTCTGAAAGGATGATACCGACTCCCTGGCATGCCCGCTCGGTCTCGTCTACACCAGACCAGTACGCGGTATACATGCCATGTGTAGTGGCATCCTTTCCCTTCCGTTTCGTCTCATTCACACATAACACGTCTATTCCTCTATCATACATCATATCGCATACTTCATCCATCTTATCATTCATTCCTCCACATACGTTCAATGTACCCAAACGGGCTTCCGCAATCCACTTTTCGCCCCTCCGGGAGACAGAACGTGACGGGTGGCGAACCTCGTCGCCGGTTTTCCTCCCGGAGATTCTTCGCACCCCTGCCCCATTAAAGGGGCGCCGGGAACTCGGGGCCATTTCTTTAATATTTTGCCTCATGGTGCGAAAGTAAGTTGTGGTATTTTTTTTACGCCGCTACCACACGGCGAGGAGCCGAGTCAGTTCTTTCGGCTTTGTCGCTCGTTTAGCACCACCCGGGGGACACGTGTAGGGTGGGCCTAGGATTAGGTGGTCGAAGCCTACGGACGCGAGCGACTCATCCCCCATCCTCTTACTAGTTTGTGCCCATACATGCACATTACACGCTGTACTGATGTATTTTGGTTTTGAAATTATGGATTTAAAATATCGATATGGTAGCATGAAGCAACGCAATTAATATGTCGGTCTTACAATCATAACTTTTTCCAAGGTCGGCCACATACACACAGAATTCCGTTTCGGGATTCCGTTTCGGAATTTCGAATAAATCGGCCACACACATATGGAATCCCGTTTTGCCCGCAAAATTTTCAACGGAAAACTACCGTACGTGTGTGATGGGTCCTTGATTTTATATGAACTTGCTGCGTTTGGAATACCGAATCCGAATTCCGAAACGGAATCCCAAAACCGAATTACATTTGTATGTGGCGGGCCTAAGTGTGCGTAAAATGTAACAGTGTGGGACATTTAGTGTCGCTACATACATACGAAATTCTGTTTCGATATTCCGATTCAAAATTCCGAACGGGATTCCGAATGTTTTCGAAATGGTATTCCGCATGTATGGGGCCGGCCTAATTGTTTCTAGTCAAAACATAACCACAGCCAGACCGGCTCGTCATCTCGATCAATCTCGATCGTCAATAACGACCCAACAAATACTACATACATAATATTACACACTTCAAAGGACATACGTAATATATAGAATATTTAAAAATGTCTGTGTAAAAAAAAACAGCTCTTGGTTCGAATATTTTTAAATCAGATTTTTATTACCTACTTAGTGATTAATGACAAGCATTTTTTTAATTATCTCCAATCGCAATTACAGCCCTGGGCATAGTATTCATTAGTATAGAGTTTAAAGAAAAAAATATTTTATTTGTTTTAGACTATATTCATTTTTTTTTGTTTTTTAAAAAAGATTTGATGATTTCATCAGATTTTATTTTGTTTCATTTCAATACAACGGTATAAAATAAGTTGGCTCTGCTGACAGCCCTACTTTTTATGCCACGTTTTGTCCGAGTGGAATTTCTTGACCAATGAAAAGCTGCCTTATTTCGGTTTGACATTTTTGTAGTTTTTGGTATCATTTGATTTGTTTTTGACGTGTATCGTGTAGCCTTTCGCTTTCCCTTTATTTACAATATCTTGAATTTAATCGGATATTGTATCAAATTATTATTATGTCGACCGGTCAATGGGAAATTGTTGGAAAAAGCAAAAAATCTCAAAATGGTAAGGTAAAAAATGTGAAAGAAGATGAGAAGAAATCGCAAAAAAATCTTCCTAAACTTGAAGATATTGGTAAGTTCGATTAAGAATAATGTAATAAATTTATTGAACTAAAATTTGTAATTAATCTGTTTTAATCTCTGATTTTAGTACCTCATTCTCAAATAAAATCATTTTACGCGGGCATGGAAATAGATGATACCCGAAAACCGCCAAAAGAGAAAAAGAAGGAGGGCGACAAAAAGGCTAAGAAGCAGCAGGATAAGAAAGCTGAACCCCCTAAACCTAAGCCACCTAAAACCATTGAGGGAGCTTTGGAAGCAGTGAGTCAAATGATTTCTTATATTTACCCGAATAGTACACATTGAATAAAACTAATTTTATGGATTATATCGAACTATGTATTTGAGGTGTAAGATATCCACTGCCTGGTGTCGTAAGAGGCGACAGAGAGAAACTGAAACAGGAGATGGACAGTTGAATCTTTCCGATAACAACTTAAAATAATAAAAACTGCCATTCCATCTGCCAAAGTGGCAACTATGGCAAAATTCCCTTTATGAGACATTTTATGGATGAAGCCTATGTTCAGCAGTAAGGTTTATAGACTGTAATGGATGGATGTATGAAATGGGTTTAAAACAAGTAAAGTAAAAAATTTATTAATTAATTTTTAAATTCAATTTTAGATACTAAAAAGAAACAATTTGAGAACATAACATTCTTGAAAAATAAAAGAAAGTCTGTTCTTTTGCAGTCTTGTTTTTTGTCTTAAACATTGAGTTATATGTACTACGTACTAGAGAAGCCATTCCAAACAAAAATTGTGTCCTACTCTATATCTTCGCGCATGCGCAGGAGTTGTAGTCGTGCATGCGCGAATACTTTAATTTGATATAAAATAAGATATTAATATAAAATATCTTAATTTAATCTAAACAAACATATTTCTAAATAAAATGCAATTAATAATAATAATTTAATTGAATTCACAAATCTTCAATTTACACAATATTTAGTTTGTATGGATTGCAGTACAGTTCAGTTGAACATGGTCAATGTTCGGAATAGCTTCTCTAGTATGTAGTACATATAACTCAATGGTCTTAAACAATTACATTACAAATATCTTAAAAAGTGAAGGGTAGATCTGAGAGTTGTATCCATTACCAAACAAGATTATTCTTACTTAATATTTTTATAACATTTACATAAGAGGTTGGAAGTCTATTTCAATTAAAAAAAAATACTTTTAATAAAAAGTATAAGCCAACTTCTGAAAACTATAATTAATAAAATTACTTCTAGTTGGTGTTAAGACAGTGTATAGAAGTAATACAGCCCTTACTTCAGAAGCTAATAAATGAAAATTATTTTATTCTTTTTACTTTTTTTAACTTTACTTTTACTTTTTATTAAAGCTCTATTCTTCTAAACCTTTTGAGTGGTCTAAGGAATATGACAAGTTCAAGTGTCATCTAAATAGTTACAAATTTCATATTCTATCTTTTCACACTTTGGAGTTGAACCTCTTCTTCGAATATATATGGGACCTCCCTAAGGTATAGCCTATTTAATAAAAAAAGAGTTATTAAAAATCGTTCTCAATTGACAAAACTTTTGCGTAACATCTATATAACAAGAACATACATTCAAATTGAGAACCTTCTTGTTTTTTTTTTGAAGTTGGCCAAAAAGGAGTTTAAATATAAAAAATGATTTTAATATAATAGAAATAGAATTTATTGTTGACTAAATGTTGTTATTTACAGATTGACCCAGCAGAACTTGCAAATATAATAACAACTAATAAAATACGATTTTCTAATGCTCCATTAGTTTGGCTGAAAGAAGTGGCCAACTATCTCAATTCAAAAACACAAATAGATGTTGATGATCCTACTTTCTTTAACTATCCACCAACATATCCACTTTGTGCTATTCCTGCAGAAATTAAGAGCAGCTTGGAAAATGTTTTAAAAGATGCTGGGAAAGCCAACAATCAACTATTTTTTGATGTTACTCTCACTGCATTAGCTAATGATATGAGTAGAGGTATGTTTTTACAATTTATAATTAATAATTTATGATATTAGTGTTAGAATATCCACTAACCTATATCATTGTGGGTGTGGTAAGAGGGGACAGAGTAAAAACTGGAACCGGGAGTCTGGCAGCAGCATCTTCCTTACAACAACTCAAAATAATAATTAAAAATGTGATTGTCAATTAGTCTGAACATGGCAATTATGGCAAAATCAACCCTATGAGACAATCTATGGGGGAGGCCCATGTTCAGCAGTTGACTTCTATAAGCAGTAATGTAATTGAAAAGGAATAGGCACACAGTCCACCTGATGATAAGTGGTTGCTGTGATCCATAGACATCTACATCTATCTTCGATTACTAATGAAAATGCAGATCCGTTGTTCCGTGAGGACAAAGATGGAATGCCTCATTTTCAGTAAAAAGGGTGTCCGCTTCTCTACACTCACCATATGAAACACAGCAGCGTTAAGCTGATATTTTACACTGGTATTTTGTGAGAGTGTGGTCCTTCTCCGGTCGAGCCGACCCATTCGTGCTACAACTATAACATAGTTGCAACATGGCTCTACCACTTAAAAAAATATTGTACACTTTGTAAAACTGCTCTCATTTTTATTTGCATGCCCTACAATTTAATAATTTCATTGCCTATTATATATTATATTATAAGCATAACAATAGAAATGATTTGATATAATAGGTACGACAGAAAAATGTTATGACTTGATATTTATAATATATTTAATTTTGTAGGTCAGTTAGTAAATGGGCACAGGCTTCTCTTGCAAATGCTTGCTCTAGAGTTTCCTGACTTCTGCACAGCATCAATTCCAAAAAGTGTCAGCTTAAGAAACTCTTACCAAAACCGGCCTCCTATTGGTCTTTCGTTATTATGGGCATATGGACAAGGTGGACACAACGATTTTGCTGTTGGAATGAAAGGTAGGTTACGGTAGAGTATAATCAACACCTCTTCCAATTTACCACATGCATATACACACATTTGTGGAATAAACTGGTGTAGTTATTTTTTTCGCTTGTAGTTGTATCTTTGTTTTAAAAATTATATCTTGGATGTCTTGTTGTTAAGATCACTTACAATATATATATATATATATATATATATATATATATATATATATATATAAAATATAAACACTGACGCCTGTCTTCCAGAGGGGTAGGCAGAGACTACTTTTTCAATCCTGGTCACAATGTCATCTTGCAAACCACACTTTTCTCTTATCACACTATTTCTCACCCTGTCATTCAGATTCAGTCCTAGCATACTCCATAGTGATCGCATTTCTACAGCATTTATTCTACTTTCATGCCTCTTCTGCCAGACCAAACTTTCACTACCATACATTAAAGTAGGGACTAACATAGCATTATGAATTGCCATACATGCCTTTTTTGACACATTCTGAGCGTGTAGGGCCCCATTCACTCTATTTCCTGTGTTCACTCGTCGTTCTATATCCTTATCATATCTACCATCCCTGCTAAATAAACATCCCGAATATACAAACTCTTGCTCAATCAACTCCCCTTCTAATCTTATTTCACATAACGTTTTACATTCTTCTCTTTCAAAAACCATCACTTTCGTCTTACTTGCGTTCACTTTCATACCCCATTTGTTTTAATGACCAGTTCATTAAAGTAACCATCATTTGCAATTCGGCCGCCGACGATGCAAATATGACTTGATCATCGGCGTACAAAAGGCATTTGACGGTTACCTCACCCATTCTCAACCCACATTCTTCAACTTTCAAAGTTTGCAAACAACTGTTCATAAATAGGTTAAACAGTCACGGGGAAGCTACACAGCCCTGTCTGACACCTTTTTGAATGCCAAACCAGTCTGAGTAGACCCCGTTGATCCTGACACAAGCACTAGAGTCCCTATAAAGAGACTTTAATGCCTGTATCAAACCAGCGCTCAACCCAAATGAGGTCAGTGTTTGCCACAACACGTTCCTGTCCACTCTGTCATAAGCCTTTTCCAAGTCCATGAATGAACAAAAAACTTTCTGGTTTTTGGTCAAAAATTTCTCTGCAATCATGCGCATGGAAAAGACCTGATCCATACACCCCATCCTCTTTCTAAATCCAGCTTGCTTTTCTTTTGAGTAGGGATCCCCGAAAATATATAATTTAAACGAATACTTACTCTTTATATGCGTCAAAGAACCAGTTATAGACACCGAGACGAGTAGTTGTGTAAGTTGCCTGTCTCAGGAGTCCGGCGGAAAGACCGGTGTACAGGGAAAAGAATCCTTCCCTTGCTACGATCTCTCCGGCGACCGCGAAAGATGAACGCCCCCCACCACTCAACTGCATCATCCTGGTCCATTCCAAATTTTTCCATCAGTTTCTTCCATAATTCTTTCAATTAACACCTTAGCATACAGTTTACCCACAATGCTAAGCAAGCTGATACCACGGTAGTTTTTACAGTCATGCTGTGACCCCTTTTCCTTATATATTGGGACTATAACCGCTTTGCACCAGTCTTCCGGTACCCGCTTCAGTTCCCAACGTAAACAAGGTGTACAGCAGGCCTGCAACCACACCGTCTCCAGCCCTTAGCATTTCGAGTGATACTCTATCATATCCGGCTGCCTTACCTGCTTTTATACATATATATATATATATATATATATATATATATATATATTATTAATATATATATAAAATTATATGCGTAAATAGTAAATACCTACACGGGTGGCGGCATCGGCTGACATCAAAAACTTTTCTAAACTGTTATATACTTTTTAAACTGTGATACATATATAGTCACCTCTTCTGGCACCTTTTAGACGCGTAATAACGTGACGGATCACCCGCGTATATTGACACAAATAAGTAAGTATAATACAGGGTTGTTTTTAAAAGAGTAATAGACAAATTTTCAATTTAAGTTCAAATATATAAATAACTAGCTTTGTTTCGCTTCGGCTTCAATTTAGGAACGTCATTAAATGTTGTTCCGTGCCAAATTTAGCTAAATTCGATCACTTTATAGTCGCCTCGGTGTCTGTGTCTCTATGTCTGTTTGTCAAAGAATTGTTTTGAATTCCTAAAGACTATCAGACGTGGATGGCATATATATATTGTGTGTATGTGTGTGTGTGTATGTATATATATTAATATGCTATAGGAACACATGAATAAATAGGTACTAGGCTGCCACTCAAGAACCTTTCTTCCCATTGGTTGTCGGTTCTTCGAGCTATATGGCCGGCCCACTGCCACTTCAGCTTACTAATCCGTTGGGCTATGTCGGTTACTCTGGTTCAACTGCGGATATCCTCATTTCTAAGTTTATCACGCAGAGAAACCCCGAGTATAGCCCTCTCCATAGCTCGCTGAGCGACCTTGAGCTTCCTCATACGGCCAGCATTGAAGGACCACGTCTCAGATGCGTAAGTCATCACTGGCAACACGCACTGGTTGTACAATTTCTTTTTCAGGTTTTGAGGTATGTCTAAGGAGAAGATGTGTCGTAGTTTCTCGAACGTTGCCCAGCCGAGTTGAATCCGTCGATGGACCTCTCGGTCGAAGTTAGACTTACCTACTCGGACTATTTGTCCCAGGTAAACATACTCGTCAACAACTTCGAGCTTAGTGCTCCCAACAACTACCGGCATAGGTGTGACATGGACGTTAAACATGATTTTTGTTTTGTCCATGTTCATCTTAGGTCCTCCAGCGATTCTGCCATAAGGACTATATCGTCGGCAAATCGAAGGTGAGTGATGTACTCGCCATTGATGTTAATACCGCATCCTTTCCAGTCCAGTAGCTTAAAACGTCTTCCAATGCAGCGGTGAAGAGTTTCGGGGATATAACGTCACCCTGTCTTACACCTCTCTGCAGTTGGATAGGTTTCGTACTCTGATTCTGTACTTCTTCGTGCGAGACGATTCGTAATGACTCTCGAAAACAGCACGTAGACGCGGCTCAGAAGGGGAATCGGTCTGTAGTTCTTCAAGAGAGCATTGTCGCCTTTCTTGAAGAACAAGACCACCGCACCTCTGCTCCACGCCTCCGAAGTAGTGCCACCATGGAGGACGGAATTAAAGAGCTTCTGAAGGACTTCAAGTACCGGTTTTCTACCTGCTTTCAAAAGCTCCGCTGTAATTCCATCTTCGCCTGGGGACTTGCCGATTTTAAGGAGCTGGAGAGCCATTCTAATTTCGCTCAGACTGACGTCCGGGATATCTTCGGAATAGTATCGGATAAGACTCGCTCTTGGATCGTTACTCACAGTTGCGTGTGGCTCCAACGATGACGTGTACAGCTGCCCATAGAACCTGTCAATCTCACTCAAAATCTCAGGTGTCCCGGAAACGATGCTGCCACACTCGGTCTTAAGCTTTGACAGTTGGCTCTTTCTGGCAGACATCTCTGGCAAAGACTTTGGAGCCTTGGTTCCGCTCGATCGCTTCTTCAATACGAGCTGTATTGAAGTTGCGTAAATCCCGCAGCATGCATTTGTAGATCTGTCTGTTCAGTTGCCTGTATGCTGTCAAATCTGTTGAAGAATGTAGCTTCATCTCACGTCTAACAGCCATGAGATTAAGAGTGTGATCGGAGAGTTTTTGTGTTCTTCTGTGGCGGGTTTTGCAACATACAACGCACGCAGCCTAAGGACTGACGAGAAGATCGTGGAGCTGGAAGAAGAGATAGACAAGATACGCTGGCATATTATTGAATTATCCGAGGTCCGAAGAGAGGGGGAGGACACGGTAATCCTCAAATCCGGCAACTTGCTCTATCACCGGGAAGGCGACCATCTGTCCCAAGGAGGTGTCGGATTTATCGTCCACAAGTCTCTCGTTAACAACGTTGTAAAGATTGAGTGTGTCGACGAGGGTTGCGTACCTTATACTCAGAATCACCAAATGGTATTCGCTGAAGGTCATACAGGTTTACGCACCAACCTCGGCACATCCCGATGAGGAGGTGGAGGAAATGTATGAGGTTATCTCTAGAGCCATGCATTCCTCCAAAACCCACTATACGGTGTTAATGGGAGACTTCAATGCAAAACTAGGCACGAGAGAGAATGGTGAGCTGAAAGTAGGGAAATTTGGAATAGGGCAACGGAACCCAAGAGGCCCAGTTTTGGCCGACTTCATGGAGAAAGAGAGACTCTTTATGATGAACTCTTTATTCCAGAAGCGGCCCCACAGGAAGTGGACCTGGTCGAGCGACGACGGTTCGACAAGAAATGAGTTAAAATAATGCATTATCACGCAGTTTGAATTTATAAGATAAAAAGGCCAGAATATTTGATATCTTTTATATGAAATTTTTCTTCACCATTTGCCTATATTACTTATTCTGAATCTTCTCTACAAATTTGGCCGGTTATTGCAATATATATATATATGGGTAAAAACAGATGCAATCTTCCACTACTGTATAATATATGGTCTTTATATAGTATTTGTTTCAGCCTGGCAGGAATTGTTCCTTCCTATTATTGAGTTGAAAAATTATTCAAAGTATGTTGTAGCATATTTATCTAAGCTCTTGGATAGACATGGGAACATGGACAGCTCTAAAATTAGCCACGAGCAACTTTTAACAATGTTCGATTTGATTAATAATAAGAAAAATAGTCTATCTAAAGAGTTGTCAAGTGACCTTATCAAACAATTAAGTAAATATAAGGTATGAATTTATAAAATACTTAAATATTTAAAAATCATCTATTATCACATTTATCTAGGTGGCAATAACAATGTCGTAATAAATGATAACTTGAGTATTACTTGTTCAATTAAGTATTTTGAAATAATTGATGTGCTGTTAAAATAACAAATGCTTATTTTGGAATCAAAGTAAATATCTTATTATTCTGAATTAAAACAACATCCATTATAACATCAAACGAGGGATTGGCAACATTGCGACTATTCTCAGCTGCATCTTGGTGGGCGACTTGCTTTAAGGCAATGCCATTTTATTGTAGGCTTACTTTATTGACCATTGAGTATCCATCTCTTCGAGTGTCAAGTGATGCATTTAGATTATTTGTCAAATTAATTACTAAAATTAAGTAAAACCCGTAACTGATTTATTTAATGTTTTGATCGCCTTTTGGTCATAACATTATTTTTGGTCCATTATTCATTACAGCCTTAAGTCCACTGCTGAGTATAGGCTTCCCCCATAAATTGCCTCATACGTTCGTAGGTCTCGTAGGCTCCTCAGAATTAGCCATAGTTGCCACTCTTTGCAGGTATTGGTAACCACATTTTTTTATTATTTTGAGTTGTCGGGTGTGGTTTGGGGAAATTAACCACCCACCATACAGCCGAGATCTATCCCCTAGTGACTACTTTTAAAAAAAGACCTTAGGGGAAAGCAATTTATAGACGGCTAAATGAGCATACGTAAGAATATTTTTTCAAGGGAATAGAAAAGCCTTTTCACAGACAAGTAAATGTATTGATGTCATTGGCTCATTGGAGACTAAATGAAAAATAAAAAATATTTCATAATTTTATCTTTTTTCTAACATACCCACACCGAGAATACATTGAACGCCCCTCGTATTTTTATACTATTTAATACTGCGATGCGATACGATACATGATACGTTGCGTCCCATTTCTTGCCGGTTTTTACCCGATCACCAAAGGGGATATTACACGCCGCTACACTATGTTGAAAAGATTAGACGAGGAAAAGATACGAAGATGTAGGAAAATTTCTAGAATCCTCATATAAAGAATGTTATGCCGTTACGCTCTCATGATACAATATGGTTAAATGTGGACGCGTTTTTGGCACGAAAAGACTATATACTACTGATAGTACTCAGTACAAAAACAAAAATTATACAATATGCTTGATAAAGATATGTCAAGATGGTCAAATGTGGACCCAGCATTATTATTGAATTTTCTCAATGTTACGTCTGTTTCTATTAATTTATTGTGGCATTGTCATCGCCTTTTATTTACAGAGTTAATTAATTTTGATTTATGAACCAAACAAAGAAGAAAATACATTCAGATAGCATTTAAAATTAATAATGTATTTTGTATTCCAAAATTTTAACACATTTAATAAAATTACCTCATCTGCGGTTATTTTTTACATGTATATGGTATAAATTGTTCTTATATAAGCTGTCATTTACAGGATATATTTTTCAATAAAAGCGGCAATAAGTTACAAGTGACATTTAACCAACTAATGAAGAAATTACCCAATCAATATTTAAGTGGTACTAGTTTGGATCCATACAACAGAGTTCTAGTTGAAACTTTAGTAGATTGTTTGGGACATGATGATTCGTGCAATGCAACTTGGAGACAATTATTCCATAAATGTACTAAGCAATCGGCTACTCTGCTTGATTTTATTGGTAAGTATATATTAAAATTTTTTCAACGTGGTAGAGCCATGCTGCAGCTATATTAATAGTATAGTTGTAGCACGAATGGGTCGGTTCGACCGGGGAAGGGCCACGCTCTCACAGAATACCAGTGTAAAATAGCAGCTAAATGCTGCTGTGTTTCGTATGGTGAGTGTAGAGAACTGGAGACCCTTTTAACTGGAAAAGAGGCATTCTACCTTAGTCCTCACGGCTGACAATGCATCTGCATTTTAATTCACAAACGAAGATGTAGATGTTTATGGGCCACAGCAACCACTTACCATCAGGTGGACAGTGTGCTCGTTTGTCACCCTTATTCTATGAAAAAAAAAAGATAATTAAGTAATAAAAATACATTTTACACATGGTAAACCCATGCTGCAGCTATATTATGGTTGTAGCACAAAAAGGTCAGCTACAGCTCACAGAACTGGAGATTATTTTTACTGAAAACTAGGCATTCCAACTTAGTCCTTAGGGGTGATGAAAACACATTAGAATTTTGATTCCTAATCAAAGATAGATATAGATGTCATTCATTTGCCACAGCATCTTTACTATCAGATGGACTGTGTATTTGTTGATCGGTCATATGCAATATTTTTTTTTTATTAATCAATTAAAATTTTAATTTGTTATGGGTGCCGGCTCAGATCGAACTGTTTTTGTTTGTGTGTAGTAAAATTTTATGGCGAGTGCTTATCTCCCGAGTAACTACGGCTCGTGTTGGATATGGTGAGTATATAGATCCGGCGACCCTCTTTACTTGAATCGAAGCATTCCATATTAGTACTCGAGGTTTCATCCATCTCATTGTGGGAATATTTGTAATGGTTGCTTAGTTTGGCAGACGGATTGGCAACCGCAATTTTTTATTTTGTGAATTCCTCTTACAATACCCACAGCAGGGCTAGGATGGGCAGGAGACAATTTTTATCCCCGGGGAAAGGAGAAAATGTTGATCCCCTCGTTTAGTTTTATCCATCCTTCGAGCACGGGCACACCGGTGTATATAATATCCATAGTAGATAAAATGGTAGATAGACTTAGATCGATTTTTGTATCAATATAAACTTAAACCCACGTTCAATGCACTAGGATAAAATTGTCCCTTTTAAATGTCAAAAAGGCATAATCTTTTATCTTACATTTGGCTCCATGCTACGGACGGGGGATATATGTCTACTCGTTATGTCAAACTGGGATATACTTCTCCTCATTGCCGTGCTTTGGCATAAGGACAAGATAATTTTATCTCTTGTCAGTGGATATAATCGGGGGATAAATTTTTTGTCCCCAGTCCATGCTAGCCGTGCAGGGGATAATATGGGGTAGTTTAATTTGTTACGATTATATATACAAATAATTCGTAATTTCCCTTATTGTCCTCAAAAATCACTTTGTGTTCGGGTGATTGATTTCTCTTTTGGTTTTCTAATATTATGTTTTCTTTTGCCGATATTTAGATAGCAATTGGACAGAAGTAAAACCGAAGTTGAAGCTGAAATCTTTAAAAACTACAGTGATCGAGTATAAAGAAATCAGCAAAGATGCATTAAAAGGAAAGAAAAAAGATGAGACAGTTGTTAAGGCAAATAAAATATGCCAGGTAAGTCTTTTTTATTATTACACTACATGGTACAGCTACGCTGCATAATACGCGTATTGACGTGGTAGTTTTTAAAAATTTTATACCCAACGCTACCATTCTATTTATGTATCATTTTAATATAATGCCATACAGTAAATAAATGTATCTTATGTCTTAGACACAAGTTTTATACCACATATAAAATGAAGATCGATGCTGCGTTAATCTATCTACGTTTTTTTTTTCGTTATAATAGAATCGGTTTTGTCCCGGGTTTCACCATTACCATCATATTCATCATTACCACCATATGGTTCATTCGAAAGGTTTAAAACGGGCCAATGAAAACGAGTAGGTTCCTCTTTATTCATTTAGTTATCGTAGTAGAGAAAATCAATAAGCTGCCAAAATATTAAGCTTATTTCAAAAATATCTATAGGTACAATTAGAATTTTAAATTACATTAAAGAATATCTACCACAAATCGTTGACGTCATAATATAATCAATTTGCAATTCACAAGTTTTATGCTTTTGAGTCACAGTTTTAGCATATAGTCCGTTGAAAACCTGTAAATTAATAAATGTTTTGATAATTATCTGTTGTCAGCGACTTTCATTGTTGTAAACAGATATATGTAGAAAAAAACATCGATAAGTATTATCTACACTCGACCACCTGACCCTGAATCTCTGAATTTTACTGTTTATCAAAAATAGGTAATTTAAAAATAATTGACAGATTTTTAACAGCCTATTAGTTTACATTTTTTAATATAAATTGTAAATGCCCCTTAACTGTGGAATGTTACCACACTTTCCTTCTGGTAACGAATTTTACATTATCATTGTTAGCACTACCGCACTACACAACAAACACTATTTTCTACCGACTTCAAAAAGGAGGAGATACTCAATTCGACTGTATGTTTTTTTTATTTGAAAGCTGGTGCTTCTCCTGTGGTCCCATATAAATTAAATAAACGTTTGATTTGACGTTTTTGAGTTATTCTTAATAATTTATATTGAAGTCGGTTGTACAAAATTATTAATTTTTAATTATTCTCATTTAAAGCTATAAAATACTTTTAGACATTTTGAGCAAAACAATGGCTATCTGCAAATTATGTCTAATTTAGTTCCTGATACATACAACGACGGCGCTTCAAATCGGCACAAACGTTTTGTAGGGTATAGCCAGTCCAGCGTACTGGTATAGATGGAGGTCAGTGGAAATAATCCTTGACTCCAAAAAAAAAATATCACTTCATCAATGTAACCGGAGTATAAGAGTATAGTGACCGGATTTTATTCCAGACCGGATACAGTAATCTGCCCAATGCCTAAAAGTGGTCCATAATCATAATCCAGAAAACAGGATGATTAACAGACCAATTGCACTCCTTAAAAATACGTCTAAAGTCCTTGAAAAATTAGTGAATTGATTGTAAATTTCTTAGAAAATTTGTTTCTCTTTCTGATAGCATAATTACCGGCTATCAGTCTGATTTTAGGAAAGTTAAATCCACTGACGCACGCAGCTTCGTTGGTATTTAATTCCGTATCTGTGCATATAGAAAATAACCAACACAATTGGGCATCTTTAAGTCCCTCACCAGGGTTTCAATATCACACATAGTAAATATATTGTTACGAGCTTGGGGTTCGAGATAATTAAAAACTGCCGAGTGAATTACCAAAATTGACTATTTAATTACACAACACTAATTACAACTTAAAATCACACTAATAATAAAACACAATCACTTTAGTTCGCAGTTATTTCGCTTCGAATTATTCTCTTGTATCGCCAATTCAATACTGCCTCGGTCGTGGTCTATACCGACCTTATATAGGGCCTCAGATAGTTTCCAGAACCTTATGCTGTAGCGACATATAGAATGTTCGAGTACATATCGGTCCCGAAATTTCTGGAAGGATCTTGATTCTCCTAGTTCTTCTACTCGACACTAGACGGCGCTAGTGTAACTAGTGTTGCCATGTACAAGACATTAATAGTGGCGCGCAACAATATTCTGAAAAAGGCACAAGGCATTATTTTGTATATTAACATGTGAACATGGCTTTCAAACAAATCTTAAAGCTTTGCTTCAAATAAATTAGGAATATCACATGTACACAATATAACATTTATTCAAAATTTTATGCCCCATTTGACCACCCTTAGTAGTGAATGTTTAACTCCAAATTTGCAAAGGACCAGCCCCTCAAGTATTACTCATCAATAGTATACACCCATTTAATTAAAAAAATCATTAAAATCTGTTTACAACCGATGAAGATAGCACTTAATATTTTATTTGTTTTTTCGTTCATAAGGGTGACAAACGAGCACACAGTCCACCTGATGGTAAGTGGTTGCTGCGGCCCATAGACATCTACATCTATCCTCTATTACAAATCAAAATGCAGATGCGTTGCATTTTGATTTGTAATAGAGGATAGGTTATCTTTGTTTTGTCCATATTCATTTTAAGACCTATGTGTTGGGAGACACTATTGAGGTCATTGAGCATAGTGCTTAGGTCCTCCAGCGATTCTGCCATAAGGACTATATCGTCGGCAAATCTCGCCATTGACATTAGTACCGTATCCTTTCCATTCCAGTAACTTGAAAACGTCTTCCAATGCAGCAGTCAAGTTTCGGGGATAGAACGTCACCCTGTCTTACAACTCTCTGCAGTTGGATAGGTTGCGTACTCTGGTTTTGTACTCGGATAGCCATCGTAGCCCTACTGTACAAACACTTCAGCACTTCGATATACCGACAGTCCACTTGGCACCGCTGAAGGGACCGCAGTACCGCCCAAATTTCGAATCAAAAGCAATATATAAAACATAGTCCACATACGCAACACAAGGGGGCAGATTGGACCCTTCGGTCTTCTATACAATTTGCCGAAGGGTATGTATGTGGTCTATGGTGCTAAAGCCTTTTCGGAAACCTGCTTGTTCGAGAGGCTGGAATTCGTCGAGTTTGCATTCGAGATGATTCGTAATGACTCTCGATAACAGCACGTAGACGCGGCTCAGAAGGGAAATTGGTCTGTAGTTCTTCAAGAGAGCATTGTCACCTTTCTTGAAGAACAAGACCACCGCACTTCTACTCCACACCTCCTGAGTAGTCCCACCACGGATGACGGAATTAAAGAGCTTCTGAAGGACTTAAAATACCGGTTCTTCACGCGCTTTCAGAAACTCCGCTGTAATTCCATCCCCGCCCGTGGACTAGTCGTTTTTAAGGTTCTGGAGAGCCAATCTAATCTCGGTCAGACTGACGTCCGGGATATCATTGGAATGGTGTCGGATAAGACTTGCTCTTGGATCGTTATTCACACTTGCATCTGGCTCCAACGATGATGTGTACAGCTGCCCATAGAACCTCTCAATCTCACAAAAAATCTCAGGTGTCTCGGAAACGATGGCAGCATTCGGTCTTCAGTTTCGAAAGTTGGCTCTTTCTGGCAGACAGATCTCTGGCAAAGACTTTGACCACTGGTTCCGCTCGATCGCTTCTTCAATACGAGCAGTACTAAGCAAGTCCCGCCGCATGCATTTGGAGACCTGTCTGTTTAATTGCCTGTATGCTGTCAAACTGCATTGCATGCAATGCTCTAGGCACTGAAAACTGTTTTGTAACTCGAGCTGAAATGTATCGGGACTCTGGATTAGAGCATGAGGAGGACGGAGCGTTGATTTTATTAGACCGTTAGACGACACCTCTCCAACTTATTATTTAGGTTCAGTGTGCCTCTAACCATTCGGTGATCGCAACCAGTTTTCACCCTCGCGATCATTGAGACATCACTGAACAGTTGCCGTTTAGTCGTCATAATGAAGTCAATCTCATTTTTTGTCGAGCCGTCGGGGCTCGACCAGGTCCACTTCCTGTGGGGGTCCCCTTCTGGGAGAAAGAGTTCATCATAAAGAGTCCCTCTTTCTCCATGAAGTTGGCCAGCTGCTGACCCCTTGGGTTCCATTGCCCTATTCCAAATTTCCCTACCGTGGGTTTTGGAGGCTTTAGAGATATCCTCATACATTTCCTCTACCTTCTCATTGGGATGTGCCGAGGTCGGTGCGTAAATCTGTATGACCTTCAACGAATACCGTTTGGTGATACTGGGTATAAGGTGCCTCGTCGACACACTCACAATTTTACTACGTTGTTAACGAGAGACGTGGACGATAAATCTGACACCTTCTTGGATCAGATGGTCATCCTCCCGGTGATAGAACAAGTTGCCGGATTCGAGGATTGCCATGTCCTTCCCCTCTCTTCAGACCTCAGATAATTCTATAATATCCCAGCGCAACTTGTCTATTTCATCTTCCAGTTCCAGCATCTTCTCGTCAGTCATCAGGATGCGTGCGTTATATGTTGCCAGGTCGAGTGCTCTTAGGTTGCAACCGAACCTCCACTGGAGATTCTCAGCACCCTCTGCCCCGCCGTTACCATAGTCGCCACTGTAGACAGGAATAGCGGGGTCGCCGGGGACTTGGGGGGCCGTCTTTTTGTGACTTTTGTCATGGATACCCCCCATGACAAAAGTCACAAAAAGACGGCCCCCCTGGCGAGCCGATTGCCTGGCGAGCGGGCTGGCAACAGCTGTTTTTTTTATTGTAATTTGCTGTTATCAGAAAGATACTGCTGCCCATCTTCTGTCTGTTTCTGTCTTTCGCCTTTTACGACGACACCCACGGGAAGATTTGGGGTAGTGGGTATTCTTACCCGCCACTACACGAGAAACATAAAAAATATATGTAACTGTTACTTTTCACTTATTCATTACCTAGTAAACAGACACTTGCCGTATATCGGCTTTCTAGACGCATTTTATTGAGGAATGTTCGTAAACGCTTGATATTTTTAAATTATTTGAGCAAAATTGTGAATATAACATTGTTCTTTGTCAACTTATGCCGTTAATATTTCGGAAATAATAATTTTTACGATGACCACACTGTAAACGTCAGTTAACCACATCCATAGACGAACACGTTGCACGTATCACATTCATAAATTCACGATTCATTCATTCCTTTGTTCGTTTTCGATTACATTTTCATTGCAATTTCATTCAGTTAGTATTATCATCACTACCACTATCAGTAAATCAGAATTGGTAAGAATATGAGTGAATATGAAACAGTTAATGTTGTGAATATGTGAGTTAACAGTTAGTGAGTGAAGACGACATATTTGTTTGGGAATTTCGAACAAATATCAATTCATAAAAGTTTAAATTTAAATCGATAATTTTATAACTTAATAAAAAAAGTGTATTCAGGTTTGTTAAATCTGCTTTTACTTTAGCTGTATGTAAGTATGTCTTTCTATAGTCGCAAATTAATTGACAACATCAAAAACTAGAAATTACACCTTTTCCATCGAACACGCCCATCAGTCGTTATTGCTAAATGTTGATTTATTACTTCCGTTACACGGCGGGAGGCCGCGTCCGTTATATTTGGAATTCATAAGAAGAAGCTCTACCTATATTAAATATGAATTCTTACACTTCATCGGAAATAACTATTTTTAAGATTAAAAATGTCTTCAACAATTCATAATTTCTACTTAAAATACAAATAAATGTATTACCAAACATTTTCATAATAACAACAATGGAATCTTTATATTATTTCTACAGTATCAGCTTAAAACATACTGTATCTTGCTTTTTATTAGATTCTCTGATATTGTAACCTTTGATAGATAACCTTAAGTTTTATGATAAACCTTAAAATCAAAATAAATTTATAAATTATTATCGGTTTGTTGCACAAATAAAACTAATTTTACACTATGCAACTATGTAGATTTAATTTTGTTATTTTACTTTTTAAATAAAATACTAAATAAACCCTTTATTACACAATATATAGCAAATTATTTATTAAAAGAAAAATTTACTTTATAAGTCATATTAACCTGTGGAATTTACAGTGAACACAGTCCCTGAGCTACCATAGTTGTAAATTTCACAATATGCGATCATCATAGGTTCGGTATTCACTGAACAAGATTTGACTGAAATAATGTATTTATTTAACACCTTTGAGATGGGCCCATCAATTTCTTATATCACTGTAATATAGTATTTATATTTCATCTGCTTCATCTTCATCAGGACTTACCTTAATTGTCACATTAGGCAGGAGTATTGATGGCAGTAAGGGAAATCTCTCATTTCTAATGCTGCAAATGTTTTCTGGTTTGGATCAGAAGCCATAATTTTTTTGCATTTCCCATAATTACCTCTCACGAGACCCATGTGAAAAAATGAGGTGATGGATTCTCTTATACTGCTACCACATGGCAAATACTAAAATTTTCATCATCATCATTACAGCCCTACAAAAGTCCCCTGCTGAGGCATGCCACAAAGCATAATCCTGATTCATATATGTCTTACCAGGTTGTCACTCCATTTAGTGGGGATCCGCCCTACACTTTGTGTACGGTACGGCATACTACATGTGGTACAGCTGCCACTCGAGAATCTTGCTTTTAACATTGGTTGTCACTTTTTAGAACTATATGGCTGGCCCCTTCAGCTTATAAAATTATTAATTAGCTTATTTAATTAATATTAATTCACTGCTAAATTTCCAGGATATTCTAGACAGGATGACGAGTACTAGAAGGTTCCCTTGGCTGTGGGCCATTTTCATACTGTTGGTTACCATTGCTGGATTAGTCACATATGATGTCTCTACAGTTGGTGGCAATTTTCCCAGTAAGTTAAGAGAATCACATTTAATATTAGATTTATATTGTTTAAAGTTTAGTTCATTTTAAATGAAATCAGAAAGAATGTTAACAACACAAAAAATCACTATTTATAACTAATTGCATGAAGATCTAATCTTCTAACTTACATTTTCTCATAATACGCTACATTATTATCCGTTTCTTACACATTTTCAATCAAATCTTATCATTTTATAGGAGCAGTATCATTTGTCTTATAAAAACAGCCATTTTGTATAATTTAATCTGTGGACAAACTTACTACAAGAGTACTGCTTCAATAATTGATCAATTTTTTCCTTGAATAAATTGTTTAATGGAATATACTATAGTTAATCAAAACCAATCCCAGGCTGGATGATTAAGGCAAATCTCCCTTGCAATGTTGGAGACCACTGCTGCTTGTGAAAGTTATTAGAAAAACATTTATTTTGTTTAGTTTTGAATCCCTGTTTTGACTTTTGACTATTGGTTATTTCATTCTGCATTTGAGATCCATGTGATGCATGATTCAACCAGACATAGTGCAAGTCTCCTCTAATTTTCATTGTTTCTAACTACTTGGTATTTTTTCTATTGGTGCTCATTTCTTTATCATTTGGCTGGTGGTTTTCCTGGAATTAACAACAAACTCTTCCTTCACTAGAATTTTTGTTATTATTATTGTATATTATTATTATAATAATATACTAATTTCTAGTTCTTATGACAATTAGTTTCTATTTAAACTTCAAAATCCTGGTCTCGTGTAACTTAGTCAACATCTCCAAAACAATGTGTCTGAACATTATCATTCTAAAAGGGAAATCCTCTCCCTTAATAATAAACCCGGTTGGGTTGTGCACTAGCAAAAGGCTGACTAAAACATTACAGAGGCCCTACCATAAGCATAAAACATGCCTCTGCATAGTATTTGCCTACTTTTCGAAGCACTCGGCGACAATGATTCTCACCAAATATAGATAATAGAATGCTTCTCCATTTTACTTGAGCCCTTGAAGCCGACAAAAAGTTTAAAGTGAAACCAACTGACAATGGTGCTTATGGTCAAATTTAGGGTCCAGGCAAGTTGATGACTATATTTAAGGCAAGGTGTAGCAATTCTAATTACAGCATGTAGTATTCTAGTTGAAATTCTAATACAGATAACCTTGGTACACCCCTTACCTTTTCAAGGGTCGTTTTACCTAAAAAACCTTAATGTTTTTTGTTGTAAGCTTACTGAGAAACAGTCGCCCAAATAGTTCAGTGCAACTTCTTCAGATCCTCTGAACAGTAGAATGAATAATATTTTTTGTTAGTTTAGTAGAATGAATTATTTTGCTGAGACACAACATTGCCTATGGCCTATACTATAATCTTGCAATTATCTTAGAACTGTTATCGTCCATTTTAGAACACAAATATTAACAATATTGAACTTAAAATGTCAATGAACACTTCTAAATTTAATTGACATTATTATAATGATTTGCAGTTTGAACCATTAATTTCTGTTAGAAAATATGTAATTTGTATTTGGAATACACCTTATAATTAGGGATGCTTCATATAGCACCTATATTAATTTCTTTTTATCTATGGAAAAGTCAAAATAACCCGTTTTTCTACCGACTTCAAAAAGGAGACGGTACTCAATTAGACTTTTTTTTAAATGTGTTTTAACATATCTCATAACTTTTTACTGTTTGAACCGATTTCGATGATACATTTTTTACTTAAAAGCTGGTGCTTCACATGTGGTCCCATATAAATTTCTAAATCAAGGTCTGACCAATAGTTTTTGAGTTATTCTTAATAATTTATATTAAAGTCTGTTTGTACAAAATTTTTAATTTTAAATTATTTTTTGTGCAAATTGATTTATATTTTCTTGTACTGTCAATTACTTTTAATTAAAACATGTTTTGTTATATTTTTCACAGAAAGTAAGACTGGACGGTTGATGAAAGATCTAGGCGTCCTAGAACATAGTCAGAAAGCGTGGCAAAAGACATTGTCGACTTCAGCACGTGGCTATATTTGGCTTGAAACCAATACTCCGATCTATTATGCTCAAACTGTTGAAATTTGTAAACCATATTCACAGCTCTCCAAAGATGTGTTCATATTGACTATGAAGAAAGTTGGAATACTTTATGACAATGTTAGAGAGTATGTGGTAGAGAAGACACCTGTAGTTGTTGCTACTATTGAACAATATGCCCCAGGAATGATAGAAAACATTCAATTTTATACATCATATGCATTTGCTACATTGAAAAAGTATGTAACAGACTATTATATTTGGATGGCAGAATATTTGAAGACTAAAGTTTTTGTGTAAGTATCTTTATGAACATATGAACATTACCAATACTCCTGTTACTCTAAGCAAGGTAGAAAATGCTTGTGTTAAGAGGGGCTCAACACAGTAGTCAAATGGCAAACTTGAACCCACAACTCTTGGGTTTTCAGTACCCATAGATATGATATATTATTAAAAATTCTGACGATTTTTCGTGAGACATCTCATTTTTTTAAATGTAATTTACATTTAACAAATAGTATTTTAATTTTTTATTTTTACACCATAGAAATAAAGCTGTTTTATTCCATTTCATTATAAATTATAAAATATTCAATATTTTATAACACTTGTATTAATTATTGTTTATTAAAATAATGGTGGTAAAATACAGAAAAACATCTTCATAAAAACTAAACTATTTCAACATTCAAAAAATTATCATGAAACTTCAACAAGCTGTTGCTATGGGAGGCCTTGTGAGAAAAAGCAGTCTAAGAACTCACAAGTAAACTATTTACCCCAACAGATTAATTCAAGCTAATAAAATTTATTAGATACACAACCCAAGAAAGCCTATGAATGTTTTAAGCATTTAAGATTTGAGCTGGAAGTTATATCAATATAATAGCATATATTGTTCAATACTTACATTATTCATTTTCCATGCAATTTTTCGTTACATTATTTACAACAAATAGCTTGTAATTTATCACACAACTGTAATATTATTTATGATGTTACTTTCTAATCAAGCAATGTTTATTTTCAGAGGTGAATGGGCACCTGAGATTCTGCAAAATAAAACACAAGTAGCATTGAATGCAACAAAGTTCCACATGTCATCATATTTCCACTGGTTCAGAGAACAAGTCCATGTGTACTCGGAGATACCTTGAAGAGAGATGAGGACTAGATAAAGTGTGATATTAAAAAACTCATCTTCTATCACAAGTGCGAACATAAAAAATAATGTATTTTATTTAAACAAAATCTCAACTGTAAGCTGGTGAAGTTATTAATGATATATTTAAGATGTTACAAATTATGTTAAACATATGGAGGTGTATTTGTTTAGAATTTGATAGGAATTTTATATTTTTTAAGATTTAAATCCATTTAATTACAAAATTCAGAAATGTATTATTTTAGCTATAAATTACAATAATTCATTGTAAATGATTATCATAAATATTTAAATAAATAACTTCACCACTTCCAGCAGTAATTGACCTTTTAATTTTAAGACTTCTTTATTATTTAATGTTCTTCAATTAAAATAATCACTTCCTATTCTAATTGTGTCGTCGGCTAGGTAAAATTTTTGTGCAATTAGAATAGCAACTGTCATAAATTATTTTAAAACTTCTTCAAAATTATAAGTTTGGTCTTAGAAACAGCAACTAAATATCTGTAACTTGCCAACATTTTAACCTAATATTTCTAACACTTCACACACAAAGGAAATTATGTACATTATATCAAATCAGGCTACATTTAACTTAGGTTCAAAAATTGTTATTCATGATACAAGGAGCAAGCACAAAAACATCACAATTTTATTATTAGATTATTAATTTATCATAATTCATATTTTCTCATTGAATAAAGTCATTTCATTATATAGACAACGAAACATTTCGATCTCCTAAAAATAAGTAAACAATGCAATATTTTAAATCATATCATGAGTTTGTATTTCAATTATCATGACAACTTTTTTTTAAAATATTTTAATGGTTTTATTAACCAGTATTGTGAAATGATTGACATTCCTGATTAATGCATTTTATACCATTTCCACAATTTACAAGATTATTTAAAATATTAAAAAAATTAGCGTCAAAATACCAATACAACGTGGTTTCTTTTAAATTTATATTAGTTGTTGTATAAAAAATGAACTTTTGAAATTTTAAACAATACCAATTTAACATTTGTTTTATATAGTTACCTCACTGTTATCGAAACAGTAAAGACAGATAGTATGTTTTAATAAAGAGGAGTTCTTTGTAGAGTTATTTATTTGCGTTGATGAAAGATTGTGCGTTTTAATATTGTAATGAAATAAACTGTTGAGGAACAATGTTTGTTTTATTTGATCAAATAGAAGATGTAAATAAATTAATGTTTGTGACGTTATGTAATTTTAGAATCTTAAATACATACATACACATAAATACATAAACTCACGTGTCACTACACAGAAACTATATACTTTCATTTGGCACGATCCTGACACATTTCTCTCGCTTCTCTCATATCCATATATCTACGCATACACGCTCGTTGGTTAAGCGTTCTCTTAATTTTCATTATGCCAATTTGGTTGATTAATTAAGAGCGTCCCTCGACATGATCAAAAGACCAGAACGTCATTGTTATTCTAGATAATTTCTTAATGCATTGCATTATATGTGAAAAATTCTACAGAAAGAACAATTATTGTTCAACATCTACAAAGTTACGCCTTTATACATCCCACTGCTGGGCACAGGTCTCATTTCTGCAAATGTTTGAACAATTAATCCCCCACGATGTTTTCCCTAACTCATCACTTATAATTGCAATTAGTTATTTAATACGTGCCGGCGGAGATCGAGTATGCGTTCCTATATTCAATTACTATGATGAAAGTAGAAGTAGAAGTTAGATAAAACTAAAAATACTTAAGGCCCTGTCCGCACTGCGATATTTCACCGCGCGATTTTTTTCTCGCAATTCTGTAACACAATCTTATAGGAGTAGCTGCACTAACGGCAAAAAATCGCGCGGGAAAAAGATCAGCAGTGATTTGATGCAAATTGAACGTGAAGCGGTGCGATTTATTACCGCGCGAATATTTTGTGCGGTATAAATTATGGCTATGTCCACACTACAGAATAAAGTTCGCGCGTATCGCGTCTCTCTCCAGTTATAATTATTTTATAAAAGCTTTTACAAAAATTTACTTCGCAAATATCCGCGTTATAAAATAAATTGATGTGTCTTACCTAGTATGAAGAAGCACCTCCCGCCCTCCCTCAATTGCGTGCACTATCCCCGGTGAGGATGCCTCGTGTAGAGGCGAAACACGTGTCGTATTATCGTCAGTGGTGTGTCTTGCCTAGTGTAGTGGTGTTGGGAGTAGCGGTGCTGGGATTAGTGGTGACGGGGATAGTGCACGCAATTGAGGGAGGGCGGGAGGTGCTTCTTCATACTAGGTAAGACACATCATTTTATTTTATAACGCGGATATTTGCGAAGTAAATTTTTGTAAAAGCTTTTATATAATGGATTTCCGCAAAGTAACGCCTGATTCTATTAATTATAATTATTTTAGTCCAATTCTCATCTTGATAGGTAATAAGCCCAACCAACAAGTCATAGTAAATTATCGAATGATTTTGTAGTCATTCTGTAATATCCGAAAAACTTTTTACTGTATTTTCGCAGCCTTTATGTCGAAAAATACTTTCATGGGTCTCAAGGCCGTAAATTAGTGAATCCAATGTTCATGACATTTTGATACGTCTATCACGCCGCCGTCATAGTATCAGGTAAATTAAAAAAAAATCTGTTGTTCACTTTTAAACGTGCGTTTCAGCTGGGAACTGCATCGAACTGACAAAAATCGTAGTCGTACAAAATTTTATTCGTAGTGCGTACTAGGTGTAATTCCTATCACGGAATATAATACGCCAGAATAAAAGTCGCGCGGTGTAATATCGCAGTGCAGACAGGGCCTTAATCATATTTTCCTTTTGCCACTGGTTCTGAAAAACCCTGTTCGGGATACGACCAGCAAGAAACACAATAGGACCTTTTTTACTATTACATCACCTGCTAAATCATTTGGTGACATTTTTTTAAGGTTTAGAATATTTCTTTCGGATGAACCATTATGTAAAATTTTATTCATGGCAAAAATTGAAATAAAACAATGGGAATTATTTTGTACAATAATTTTTAATAATTTGTCTTCAGTTCCCCAGATTGTGATTGTCTGTCTACATAGATCCCATACTCGGACACAATGCTCATCTCATTGCAGATAGTGTTGAGGTGCAGGGAAGATACCGTCGTGCTCGCTCAATGCACTACTTTCCACTATTTACCATTAAAAAACAATTTACTAGTATTATTATAAATAGCTTCGGCTAAATCGTCAATATTTTCCTTGCGTACCGCTGCTAAAATTTCTAGTACTTGCCTGAAACAAAATTTGATTTTAAGAAAATTAAGGTGCATATTTTCTTATTAAAATTTCAACCTCGTCTGCTTGCGACATTTTTTTTTCATGGGCATATGAATATGACGCATATGCACCCTGCCGAGGCAATAATGAGGTTACGTGTTGCTGTACTTTGATAGCTCATCTTTGAAAGAATTACTTTCCAGGCCTCCTCCACATGAATAACGCTCCCCCCACCTCTATGCGGTCTCCATATTAAGTAAAAAATTACCAGCCAAGTGCGAGTCGGATTCGCGTACCGAGGGTTCCGAACAAATTTGTGGGTATATGTTTAAAATTATTAAAAAAAAATTTATATGATATGTTCACAGGAGGTACCCTGTTTTGATTCCCTTGCAAACGTCAAAAATTTGCGACATAAACTGCTGTATCTTTTGATTGCGTTGGCTTAGAAGTTTGATTCTTTCACAGCTCCAAGGGACAGTAGACTTGAGTATTTGATATGTATTTCAGCTTGATACCTCCACGCGTTCCTGAGAAAAAAGGTCTTGACAGATAGACAGACGGACAATAAAGTGATCCTATAAGAGTTCCGTTTTTTCCTTTTGAGGTACGGAACCCTAAAATCAAGCATGAGAAAGTGTCAGTCTTTCTCACTCGTTATTCCACAAAGCCCGGTCTTGAGACTTGAGTCTTTACATACATCAAAGGTATTGCTTGGGGGAGGCCTATGTTCAGCAGTGGACTTGTGAAGGGCTGTAATGATGACGGTGATGATGTCAATAGGGTTCAAAAGTTCGATAACATATTATCGATACATTTGAAGAAGAAAAAATCGCATCTCCATCTTACATTTCACACCACTGTATAAATACTTACACAATATTAGCTGGTTCATTCCTCCCTTTCACTTGATTACCAGAATTAATTGAATATTTCTCTTTCTTCACCGAAGGGTACTTTGTTATAACATGCACATATCCTGGGTGAGTTGGCTTCACCTCACACCAAGGGCAATCTGTTTCTATCATGAGCCTATCCTGTGGTATTTTTGTTACCACTTCCAAATTCTCCTTTGTACGCAATGAACTGAAATATAAGGTAATATTAATCAGGCAGTCTCTTGGTGTGTAGTGGCAACATAAGCGTAACATAATTATTATCATATGATATCGTAAGAGATGAAAGAGGGAAACTGAAACAGGAGATGGGTAGCAGCACCTTCTTGTTAAGAGTTTAAATTATAAAAGAGTTGTCGTTCTGTCTTACCTTTTCGAAACACAAAATTCTCTCATTGCGACATAGTATGATGTCGAATCATGGAGACAACATATTCATATCCAAAATTTGATAAGTGTTTCATTGCATATTGCATAAATATTGGTTTCAGTTAGACCTCTGCCTCGAATCTTGCGGGCAACGGGGCGACGGCGGCGGCGGTGCGGGAGCGGCAGGATCTAATGCGTAAAATCAAACGGAGCGACCCTCGCACACAGCGGCGCGGGGGCGGGCAACGAGCGGTGCACTCCAGTCAAGCGGTGACCACCCGCGCGTCTGCATTGCAGTGTTGTGCAATTTATTTTTGTGACGTATCGAAATGTCCTCGGACGTGCAAGAGCTAATTTATTTGAGACTACTACTTTTTAAACAGTTTGCTTTCACAAATGGAATAATTCCTGCCAGTACAAAAGTTTAGAGTGAGACAAAAAATTAATCAAACTCTTC